AGGGAAGGAGAGAGAGAAAGAGAGACGGAGTGGGAAAATTCAATGAGGGGAATTAACGTGCACTGTTGGAAAAAAAAAACTGCCCAACAGTTCGAATTCTTCTAGGGATATTTCGGATGATCACGACGATAATTTAATTTTTGTGAAAGTTGTTAAATTTTCTTCTATCAAGCTGGTTAATTTCCCTCCAGTAAATCTGTTCCACTCCATCAAATATTCTCACGTGGAACATATAGTTTTTCGGCAGACCTAATTTTTAGGAGAGTGACACGGAATTATTCAACACGCTTAACCCTAGTCTGGTCACCAAGCTCGACCCAGCGGCTCTGGTCACCTCCGCGGGGATTCCCCGCCGTGTGTTTAGCCTCTAGCGTTGCCGAGTTCACTCTACACTGCCCGGGCGCGTTCAGCGAGTTTCCGGCAACGTCGCGTGACGGCCAATTTCATTTAACACGGGAAAAAATAATTCATCTGTTCGAAATAATTTGTTTTCTTTAGGAATTTGCGGAAATATGCTGCTCTAAAGACTACTATAATTTTTTTGACACTTCCATTAACAAAGTTGAATTTTTTCAATTTTTCCGGTTTGCGAGTCAATTGTAATTGAAGAAAAACGACGCGCGGCGGGGTTTCCCCTGATATGGTGACCAATCTAGTTCAAGGATATATTTGCTTGAACTTTTCTGATTTCCATCGACTTTCATGGAACAATTGAAGTGAAATTCACAGCTTCCACCGATTTTTCCGTAAAATATGGAATTTTCAATGACAAAATTCCTTGAAATTTCAGTGGAATTATAATGAGATAAACTTCCAAGAAATATACCAGAAAATTCCAGCCCAATATTTTCAACAGTGTGGAATGCAGAAATAATGTATCGAGCTCAACTCAGTCTCTACTACTTGCATTATAATTTTTTCAGTCGCGTTTGACCCTAGGAAATTTAACACCTCATCACCCCGAGACGTTTGGATTTCGCGTGAGAACGATTGTTATGCAGCGTGGATAATTTCGGGGGTAAGGTGAGAAGGCTTCGAGTGCCAAATTTTGATGGAATCAACTTGCTTCAAAGAAACCCGGGAGCATACGATTGAAGCCAAAACGGTGACAATGGATTCATTGTATTGATTCAAGTTCCACAATTTCAGGCTTTTGAAAGTTGCTGGTAGTTTCAATTTCAAATGGCCCATCCGTCCTGCCCCCAATGTTTTTTATTTAATTTTAACAGGACAAAACGTTTTTTTTGTATTCTGGCAGGTGATGAGACGAGACGAGTCGTCATCTCTTCATTTTCTGCTGTTTCTATTTCACATTCTACTATTTTGAATGCTTCTGTATTCTGTATTCTAGAAGGATTTTCTGGATTTGTTGAAATTAATTTGACATATAATTATTAATTAATTAGAGGTATTAAATATTTCACCGATCGTCTTTATTTCCAATTTTTGAGTAAATTTTCCCATCTTTTTAGTTAAACTACTGTTTGCATTGTTAAATGAAATCAAGATCTGTTTGGAATTAATTGAATATTCCTCGTTCCTTCATAGATATTCTCCGTTTGTCAGAATGTAATTGAATGAGAATTTTTTTAGCGAGATATTCCGAGGAGTCCGGAATGTGTCATAGCCACGCTGCTAAAAAAAATTGTAACTCATGGATATTCTAGTAGCGATTCTCAGAGGAGTGACATTTTATTCGATTTAGAGGGAAACAGATGACGGAGTTTCCAGATTCAGGTAGATTTCAGTTGGATTTAAACAGTTTCAATTAGAAATCAGAGTGAAATTCTACAATTTACATCATTTTCCGATTCACTTTAAATTCAAAAATATTTTTTCCTGAATTTTTAAAATGTTTGTTGAACAATTCACATGAAGTTTACAGTTTCCACTGATTTCCTCATTAAATTGTGAGGAAATTCCCTAAAATTCACGTGGGAACGTCAACTGTAAAGACTAAAAAAATTGATATCACTAGGAATTTTTTATAATTCTCTGTAGAACGAATTTGTTTACCCAAAAGACATAAATCTCTCATGTTTTGGTGGAAAATTCCTTTTTGTCCACAAGTAAATGGATCCAACACGACAAACGTCATCTTCAGTGGAACGAATAATTTTTCGGCAGACGAATTTTTTTCTCTCAGCGGAAAAAAAAAATTCACGGACAGAAATATTCCGTAAAAATTACGGAACAATTCAGATAATCCACACTGGGGAATCGTTTTCCGGCACTTTTTATAGGAATGGAAGAGAAGAAATCTGAACCGTTCATTGAATATTCAGATTCATCACCGAACAAAGTACGAAATTGTCACGTAATTTTTCCCGAAGAAGTAAAATCTTACAGAAACTTGCCGACTTATTATGCCTCGAAAATAAAAAATTCTTGAACGTTGAACAATTTTTATGAATCTGGCAAGTTCATTCTACGTTCCGTTCGGTAAAATTTCTCAATAGTTGGGGAAAAATTACGGAACGACTTGTTGTCCCCCCAGCGGTGAGTCATCAGACGGGTTAATTTTTACGGAACAAATAGTCGAATTTCCGACTCACACATTTTACTGAATTTTCCCTCGTTCGCGAATTACGTTTCGAAACGTAATTTTCACGTTTTTTTCTTGTAATTTTTATTGAATTTTCCTCTCCGTGATCGATCTACCTCTTCAATTGGCTATCCCGCGTGCGCAAGCCCCTAAAATTAAAGAACAAAAGGTAAATTCACGTATTCCCGAGTGTCTTTAGGACCACCATGTAGTAGCGTTGGCTCACAGACGGGGGGTCTTATAATATCGCGTCATACGAAACGATGAAATAGTGGCCATAGCCAGTGGAATGTTCTACCACTTGAGTCGAGTTGACTGGCGTTAGCGTGGCTCCTCCAACGTTGTATTCTCGAGACTGGCTCTTTACCCGGTTTTCTCCATCTCATTTTATTCTCACTTCACGCTGATATATACATACGAAATTCTCACCTCCACTAATACCCTCGCCAGTGCATAATCCATATCACGGGTTTCTTCCTCTCTCTATTCTCCCATTCCCGACTTTTTTGCTTCATCCGTTGGTCCCGTGGGTGTGGATCAACCCTGTCAAGTTGGTAGTACTCGAGCCATCGGATGTACAACGACTTTGAGAAAGGATTCACAAAGGCTGGTGTGTAGAGCGGGTTTAGAATAGATGGGAGGGGGAGGGAGCCGCGGTAAAACGGGCGTGGGCACATGATCATCATGACAAAAGCTCCGGGCAAACATCCATTGAATTTATTAGCTTATAGAGAACGCTCGGGGTGTGCGAGAGCCAACACTAACCACCTACGATGCCCCCATGCACCCACCTCTTGGTAATAACGGCCATAATGTTCCCGGGGAGCGATAGTCCTCCTCGTTTTCAGTGTTAAAGACGTCTCCATGGTGAAAAGAAAATGTTTGGGATGAGGAAAAAAATCCAATGGCGAAAAAAAATACGACGCGCGTTTTTTGTAAAAAACTAACCGGTTAGCGGGCGAGAATGTGGAGATGGGTATATGAAAATGTCGGTTTATTGACGCGGAACGATTGGCGGGTTGGTAAAATGCACGCACAGTTAGCACGTCAGGAGTAGTCACGATGCCACGATATTATAACGAGGAGACGAGAGATTGCCTTGTCGACTGATCGACAAGGCCATTTTGCAAGGCAGAAGAGGAATCAAGGAAAGGTGGGAATTTTGGGAGATTGGGGGCTTGGGCTGTGGGTCCGGAAGGAAATGTCGTTCCACGCACGAAAAATTTTTTATGGAAAACATTAGGTAATGGGACGAAAAATTATATTGATGCTTTGTTGGACGTCTATTGAAAATTATATTAGTTTTCAAATTACTTCAGTGAAGGACTCCGCTGGTTTAGTGTGTTCTTTTGGTAGACAGTGTCCAATAGATATTTTTATTTAAAAAATGATTCGAATTTCATATTTTTGTACGACTTTTTCTATTTTGAAATTTTATTTATAAGAATTCGTCGACATGAATTTTTCCAGTTTTTCCCATTCCTTTTTTTAGCGAAAAACATGGAAAATTTGAGCTGAGAAATTTATACAGAGGATATCTGAATAGATTAAAAAACAGAAAAATCGAATTCACTTGAAAAAAAAATTTCCTAATATTCATTTTCTAAATGCGCTATCAACTGCGGAATTTTTTTTTATGGAATGGGCCAAAAATTAATAGAAAGTTTAATAGAAATCCACTAGAATTTCCTAGTCAATTCGCCAGGTTTGTGCATAAAATTTCAATTTTTCAAGAAATTCAGAAAACGTAAAATTTTTACTTCTTGCAAAAACATTTTCTTTAAAAACCAGATGAAAAATTTTAATTGTCAATAACTTTTGTTTATTTTCGAGGTTGTTTTTTTTAAATAAGACAATTTTCGTTCTTGAATCGATGTTTCTTCCTGCCTTCAAATAAATCTGCTTAAATCTTGATCCAAATGAAGACTTCATCAATTAGAAATGAAATCGTTGTTAATCGGCGAAAGAAACTAATTTGTGAACACCAAATAATCCACTAATTCGTTAATCTGATTCAAATGAATAATTTATTTGCAATGGATGAATTATTTATTTTGTACAATTACAACATTTCCATTTTAATTGACATAAAAACATCAAGCCAAGAATTATTTGATTTAAATTCATCTCTTTATACGTTTCAAGACCTATTACCCCTTGAAATATGTGAAATTCAAATTTTTGGAATTCAATTCCAGACATTTTCCTCTCAAAATTGAGAAAACAATCTCTTATTCTAAGTACAACGCATATTCGAGCCCTGAAATTCCCACTCATAAGTAAATTCGTTCTAAAAATGAAAAACTTGTCCTCCGGATATTCCGCATCTTCTCAAAAATCAAATCGATCAATTGAGTTCATCGAAAGGTTCTTCTCTAAATCTCCAAAACCATTCAGCCAAAAGAATTCACTTTTAAAATCCCTTCATCTACAATTATTTACCTCTAAGACTCACCTGTCCATGTTTATCCATTTCGTTATTAGTCAGCTTGACTTTCTCAAAAGACACAACCTGCTTCCTCAACTGTTCCCCCGTGAACGGTGAATCGGGATGTTCATAGAGTCTGGCTGGTGCTGGTGGGTCAGCTTTCCCCGCAACAAGCCAAGAACTCCTGTGATATGCATACCTGTACCGTTTATCATCAACTGGAACAATATCCATGAGAACCGAGTACCTTCCCTCGGGCCTCAGTTCATTGAACGACACCCGGCAGGTCGGGAACATTCGCCTGAAACCATAAAAGACAATCGACTGTGTTGGCGCTTTCTAACCAAAGTTTGACAAAAGTAAATGTGACACCTCATTAATTCATCATGACACTAAATTTCGGGTAAGCTAGCTGTTGTCACAGACTGTGACGTTGAAACGTGACGAATTGTGAAATCATTTCAGTCGACTAATGCATGCCAATCCACGCAGCAAGGACATATGGCGAGCAGAGCTTGGGCTGCATCAGGGGTGAGAGAGAGAACGAAAGAAAGCGGTGAAGAGGAGTGATTCCTCATTTTTCAGGGATGTCCCGTCCCACGCGGAGGCGCACGTACAGGGGAAAGTCAATAGTGTGTCCTGGGCCATGCAACCCGCGCAACCGATGCCGTACGATACCCAACAACAATATCAACAAGGGTGACAACGCTGCTACGTGTCCCCTGGGGTGGACGGAAACGGTCCCATGTAGTCTCTCGAGAAAACGTCAGCCCGCGGGGATTCACTCGGGCCATACCCAAAGACCGACTGACGAGTTGGCCAGGACCTTGAGAAAGCCAGCAAGGGGTAGACACAACAGGACACCTGCCATGCAAACTCCCAATGCCCAAGTCAGAGGAATTTCTACTCTGTCTTCACGTGTCTCAAACTGCTGTCTGGCCATTCTGCTTCTCATTCTCCTCCACACACTCGTAGCTTGTGTTGCTCTGCACTACGATTGGTACGAAAATTTCACGGCTCTTCAATTCTGCGGAGTCGTCAGTATTCTATTGTGGCAGATAACAGGAGCTGTTCAAGTCTAAATTCGATAATGCAGAATATCGATGGAGCGATTTATTACTACCGAGAGGATTGATTAATTATAGGTTGCCTGGTGATGAATGAAACAGTCTAGCTCAGTCTCAGATAATTGCTTTATATTTAACTCAACCCCTTGGTGATCTATGCATGAGTCGGAGAGCTTGTCTAACGAGAATTGAACTGCAGATTAGTCTAACCCACATTAAACTTTCTGCGAGTCCATATCGTGTGGTGATTAGCCGTCTCAATTGCTCTTGAGCCTGATCATCGTGGTGTCTGACTCGGGTGGGTGACAAATGACACGGAATTTTCGGATATAAATTACTCGAGGCGGATTGAGCAAGACCAGTAGCTGTTGTCGATGGTTAACACATTTCGGAGTCAATACTCATCGAGCTAACTGTTTACCTAACGACTCACCAGTCTCTCACACACATGCTTGGTGGTGTCACTGTAATAATTATAATCATATCGTACATTACACCAGACCTGGAATGACGGGGCAAAGCCCCCGGGCCCCTTCGACGATTCCAATGAACTCTCTTTTCTTCCTTCATTGTCCGCTTTGTATAGAGAACTTAACTTTTTGTTTGTACTCCGACTGAGCTACCGTACGTTCAACAAAACCCTGTGTACATACATTGTTACACACATCGTACATAATGTAGGTTGCCCGGTAGCGTTGATGAAGGGTTCGCGTGACGAGCTCACTCTATACCACTGCATCCTGTCTTTACTGACCTGCTCGTCCACACCTACTCACTTCTATCGTTTTTAAAGAGTACGGGAGATTCGAAATTATATGTTTTTTTCAACTTCGGTTTGTGTTTCTGAGCTTGCTGGGAGTAATTAGGCGACATATGCGGGGAGGGGGTATTGGTTGGGTTGAGGATTTAATTTGTTTGTGTCAGCAAGCTTGGATATCAATGATAATGTAATAGTTCGTGAGCCGACACCCGGAAATAGGACGTTATGTCACGAGGCTGATAAAAATATTTTTTGATGAATGTACACACATGGAAAAATTTATATTTTGAAAAATGTGTAAAAAAATATCTTGAATTGGCCCAATTTATATTTTTTTTAAATATAAAATGTATGATTTATAAGTATTTTTTAGGTACTTTTGATAAATTTGAAAAATATATGGAATTGGCCCATATTATATATTTTTTTATATTCATCCTTGGAGAATAAAATATTGTATATTACGGGGGGATAAAAATATTTCCTGACTGATGTGATTATAATGAAGCTAAATTTGATTATAATGAAGTTACATGTACGATAAAAAATCATAAAAAACCTAGCGAGTTCGCTGGAAAATTCCATTGGATTTCTACAGAGAAATTCCACAGGCTGTCTTTGCGTTTTTAAAAAATAAAATAAATTCGAATAAAATAAATTCGGAATTAAAAAATTTAAATTGATGATTATTTTGAAAAACCCAAAAATTGGAGAGTAATATTAACAATTGACTTCTTCCAAATTTAACTCTAATTTAAAATTTCGCTAATTCCGATGTGTGTTACTACCCTAGGTTCAACCAAGGCTGAAATGAAAGTTTACAATTCATCCGAAAAATGCCCAAAATACTTGAACATCCGTAATTTCATCACCACTTCCTCCCAACCCGTACCTCCCCTCCGACCCCCCCGATGATTAAATTCCCATCATCTCCATGCCCGCCTCAACTTAGAAATCTGTGCATTATTCTTGTCCCACCGTCTCTGCATGAATGTCCCGAAGGAATGTGTTGAAGGGCGAGGCACCTCCGAATGAAGTCCGAAACGTGGGAAAGCTCCTCCAACCTTCGACACTTCCAACCCCCCAACTGTGCCCCAACAATTCCACCTGATTGGTATAATTTCACTCATTGTCATTTATCGGAAAAAAGGTAAAAGTGGTGCGCGTGGAAGGGCGTCCCTCACCGTTCCCTAACGAGACACCATTTTCCCGAAAACTCGTCGTTCCATTATTATCTAAAAGCCTCCTAACAAGCCGAGGCGAATCGATAGTGGTCTGTTTGGACTTGTGAGAATGAAAAATTTTAAGGTAAATTTCACGCTTTACGATGATAGTTTACAACAATGTCCAGTCGTGGGTTATTCTTAGTTGTCGGAAGGGGACCCCGATGGTTATAGAAACATCAAGTTACCGGTATCGTGTGGCACCACCCATTCCTTGTACACGCGTCAGGATATAATTAATCATCCTAATGACTCAGGATAATCGAAGTGGGAAGCGACGAAATTTCATTTTCATAGTGTATATGAAAACGTTATTACTTCATTAACACACGTTATCATCAACCAACACGCAAATAATAGGTAATGAACATCCTACAAGTATGAATTATCCTAGGATGATTAGGTAAACTATAAAGCGACATTTTACTTTTGTAATAGTAATCCTTGTGATAATCTAATTTACCGGGATCATTCCCTCATGATATTTTCGAAGCCAAATGCTTGGTCATTCTCTTGCTGTGTACCGTGCTCTACGGTGCGTATACAATATAATATATATACGCATATAGAACACACGGTTAGCACGAATATCTCATAATTCCGACATGGTCACGCATCCCGGTGAATACGGCGGAAAGGAGGCATGCAGCTGCAGTCGACCCCGCGCGTACTTTATTAGCATAACCTATAAAATTGGACACCACTTTAACCCGCGAGGAGCTTTACGATCGCCAAGTGTAAATTATATTTCGTTGTAATCATCATAAGTTTATTTCATTTCTAAAATTTTAATTTTCGCGGATTGTATATTTCATCCGGATGAAGGGTATCAAATGACCACTAACTGATAATTCAAGTCCATATTCTCATTCCAAGCAACCTCACCGCAAACTGTATCATAAATATAATGGATGATGGTGCTCGGGGTAATTGATAAGAATATGTGGTTTTTTCTTTAGAAAGACAACTTTTTCTAGAAAAATATTTTTCATATTTAGGAATTTTCTTTTTATCCAAAAGAGTCATTTTCCCTTTGCGTATTGCTACGACCGCCTTCAAGAAGTAGGGCCTGGGTATAAGGGTCTCATTTCAGGAGCATTTTCAAGTTTTCTGTTTTTAGCTGTAGTTTCCATGAACAGAAAAATACACTACAGTTTTTCTCTTGAGTTGGAGGCGGTAAATACTCTTTAGAACGACAGAAATCAACAATTTGGAACATTTCGTGAATACTTTCAATATAATTAATACTCAACATCCTGTTCTACGACGAAACAGCTTGAATTTTCAAAGATATATATTTCCCCCACACCAGCAGCATCAATTGACCACCAACTGATAGTTCCTGTCCACATTCTCATTCGAGACAACCTCACCACAAACAATATCATAAAAATAATTCAATACGGTGCTCAGGAATAATTGAAACGGCTTCTAAAGAAATAACAATCCACTGCGACTCACCTGCCGGTTTTAGTGATGATCATCTCAGTGCCAAGTTCATTGAACTTATCCCACAGTTCCTTAGTCTCCAAGTGACAGTCAACATTCTTAAGCTCCTCGGAATTACAAGTTGTTCGCCTATGCTGAGGTACCTTTCTACTCGCTGAATTACTACCATTGAACTTGCGGTTTGTGAGGCCATCGGACAAACCAAGTGGACCATCATCCAAACTACTGCATTCTTCAACATCAACGTCCACCTCCTCATCATCGCCATTGGCTGATTTCTCTGTACCCTCGCTCTCAGCCTCGCCCACACCCTCGTCAACCTCATCATCATCATCGTCGTCGAGAAGTGCATCACCGGTAACTACTGTTGCGGTTGCGACGATATTGACTGGCGATGATCTTGCAACACCTGGAAATGTGTAAATTTTCGAAGGTCAACTCAAGAACTTGCAGTATACTTTATTTATATGAATTCTTAATTAGGGAATATTAAATTCTGTGGCTCAACACTTGAAGAAGGAGAGGAAGGAATAAAATAAAGACGAGGGTCATTAAGACTCGGGGATACTGTCAACGCTTGCATGCAATCGGCGGGCGCTGGTAGGGTAATAATTAACGGAAGAGGTGTTCATGATATACAGCTTGAAGAACCATCGTAAACATTCTGAGTAGGTTCTGTAAACACACCTGGTGACGTATTTATTATTTATTGGAGGGCATTAATATTGGAATTTTATCGGCTTAATGAGGCTTGAATTAGGAGTCGCTAGCGCGAGGTGATGTTTTTGTCTGAGATGAGGACTTCTTGGCATGAGGTGAGCTTTATGCAATTGTTCCAATCTCAATGACTTCGGTCGATGGAATAAATGACTGTTTCCAAAAAATCTATTGACTAGTGACAAATCTGAATTTGAATTTTCGAAAGAAAGATATTTAGTTGACTTTTTACACTTTTTAGCAGGTGTTCGCAGCTTTAGATCTTTCAGATTAGATGAACTAAAGTTGGAAAAGTAGGTGTTGTTTTTTTCATAAAGGTGTTGCTTCTTTCAGGTCAAGACTACTAACTATTCATTTGATGAATCATCTGACTTAGATTGATTGTCAAACAAGGCCTGAATTTGAAGCTATTCTGAGTAAGCAGAAGTTTTTGCTTGAGATGAAGATTCTTTAGCAGGTGTTTGCGACTTTAAAAGGTTATCTCCATCAGAAAGAGTTCAGTTCATGAAATAGATGATTCTTTCCACGAAACCAATTAACCATTCAGTCTATTATCATGAATGACTTGTTTGAGTTAGAATTTTCACGAGCTGAACTTTCGGTCTGAGATAAAAACTTTAGTAGGTGTTCGCAGCTTTAGATCTTCCAGATCAGAAGAACGAAAGTTGGAAAAGTTGGTGTTGTTTTTTTGGAGAAGTCAAATAACTACTGTTTTTATAATTCATGAATCCGTTGACTCCAATTGTCAAAGATCTGAATTTAATGTAATTCTGCGCAGGCAGAATTTTACTTGAGAGAAAAATTCTTTAGCAGGTGTTCGCAACTTTAGGAGGTTATCTCCATCAGAAAGAGTTCAGTTGACGAAATAGATGATTCTTTCCACGAAACCAATTAATCATTCAGTCTATTATCATGAATGACTTGTTTGAGTTAGAATGTTCACAAGCTGAACTTTCGCTCTAAGATGAAAACTTTAGTAGGTGTTCGCAGCTTTAGAACTTCTAGATTAAATACGTAAAGTTGGAAAAGTAGGTGTTGGTTCTTTTGACAAGTCAAGTCACCACTGATTCTATAATTCATCAATCAGCCAACTTCAGTTGTCAAATAAAGCCTGAAGATAACGTGATTCTGCGCAAGCAGAGGTTTTTGCTTCAAATGTAGCCAAAAATCAGTCGTCTGTTTCCACGCCGCAATCACCAAGTAATCCCCAATAAACTGGTCTTCATGGTTGGCATAGGAACCGTCTCAGTAGGTGTCCGCAGCTGTACAAGATCTTCCCGATTAAGGAAACAGGTGCTTCTCTTCCAAAAGAAACAACAAATTGGTCATTTCATAATTGATGAACTAGACTTTAATTCAAATCTCTGCCGGACGCCTATAATCCCATTCCACTCCTCATCCCAGTTCGTGCCGAACGGTTTTATCAAATCCATAAGCGTTTGTAATTATTACCAGATAAGTTCATGACGCTTTAATCCACCACCTAACGGAACCCACATTTACGATGAGTTTGAACGTCTCCTATTCGTAAACTATACATAAATTACCGTACGATTTTTCCAACTAACGCATCGTTGACATCCGAGTCTAATTAACGCAATCATTAATGATCCCTTCGATGCTTTACGCCACGTATCATCGTAAAGAAGAAAAATTATAGACATAAAAGCTTCATCCTTCGATACAGCTTTCTCTTTTTCTAACCCGTCGAGTGGTTCAACTTCAACTCGATCCCGTCATAATTCGCGGGTAATTATGTCTCTCGCGGTGAGTCTCCCCCCTCCCTCCCCCTCCCCTTCCACCAACCCTCTTTGGATTTCACATCCACCTTCATTCATATTCCAAAAACTGGTTCTCCGGTTTTATTCATTGACAACGACAACTGTCTACCGTTTTTATAACGAACTTGTTGTTTTATTGCGGTGGATGATGCTGGAAGAAAGGCCTTCAGGGCGAATGGACAACTTTGACTACCATCATTTGCATCGGCTATCGTGGGGCATATAATGATGGTGTTTATGGTTGCTTTAACACTCTATGAAAAAACAACTGTATTAAATCGTATTCTGATTGAAGGGCCTTGGACGGGACGACGAGAGGAACAAAGGGTCAGTTTTTGGAGGAATTTCCCTAATTGCTGGAGAGACCGAAATGTATCTAGAAGTAATGACCTGATGATATTTTTGTCGCTGACAATGAGGGGTAATTAGATAAATGCAGTAGCGAAGTGGTGAAACGGTACAAGTTAATTTTGACTGTTGGCCAGGTTTCAATAAATATCTCGGAATCTAAGGGAGATAGCAATTTTTTTGGTATAACCTTTTTTGTAGAGCCGATTGAGAGCTACAACAAATGTAATTATGAAAATTTCGCTATCTCCCTTAGATTTGGAGATATTCCGCAAAAACTCAACTGGGAGATGACAAAAATTATTTTTTGGTTCTTTTGTGTATTTCGGTTTTTTCAGTAGGGGAGGGGGCTTTGCACGACAAACATTTGTTGATCTGAGAGAACTCCACAGGTTTATACCATAGAAAGAATACATTGACGAGGAAAGAATTTTTTTTTTCCAAAGAAAATTTTCCCCTCGAAATTATTTAGTTTTCCCAATGACACAGTTGTCGGCAAGAAAATTGTAGTTTCCTCTTGAAATTATCATTTGTTCCACGGAAATTGTAAGTGTTTATTGGACAAAGATATCCACTACTCAATAACATTCACTTGATAAAGCCGGAGCCTCATATAATTCTCCGTAGAACGACTGTATTTACCCGAAAGACATATAAATGTCTCACGAGCGCAATTACTACTCCGAAAATTATCACGATCAGGTGGAAACTTTCTCTTTGTCCACAAGTAAATTGACTCGACACGAAAAGATCTTTATAACATAATCAACTATTTCCCCTGTGTCCGATAAGTTCTCCTCAAATCGATAAACTACTACTTCCAAAGCACATAATTGCCCAACAATCTCTTGTCTCCCAGATTCGTGAACTTTCATTAAACCCCGTCCTCTCGAGCCTAGATCCGAACGGCACGCTAAAACTAGTGCCGATCAGGTCGCATTTGCGAAACAGAAATACAAGGCATTTATCGTAACAAACGATCGTGTCCAGGAACCTTTCACGCGAACGTGCGATTATTATAATCCTCGTTGAACAAATGCTCCCAGTGCCCCCCAACCCCCTCCGTCTGAACGCATTACGACACCGATTATTGTCCCGAGTTGTGCTGGGTCCGGTGGAAATAAATTTCTGATGGTACCTAGTTGGTGTTACAGCAATGTTAAACTGCAGTTTTCCCTGTTATTATACATTTTCTCGTGCACCACGCGGTATTGAATAGATGCGCGAAAAAGCATGTATACGTTTTACGGGAGATATGTACCGTGCAAGGCCCCCACACGTTGACGTGAGTTATGCAAACTATTTACCTATCTCGCGCAAGCCAACACCGAACCACCGGTGCTATACACCCGAGGATTTACACACGTGATTAATTTGGCCACCGGCGCTTTCGACTTCTCCACGCAGAAATAATCAATGATTTATTATCATTCATTGCAAATAAATATCCACACCCAGCTCCCTCATTCTGGTGGATTCGTTTTTATCGATTTTTTAGTATTTTCATTCACCAAACGACTGCTGTTTTTTATTACGGGAGGGTTATTGCAATGATGAATAATTTTTATTTGCGAATTTTGGTACTGAGAACTTGATAGCGAAAGCTTGAAATGAATCATTGAGTTAATTGGAAAGTAGATGAAGGTCGAAATTTATTTTGGAAAATTTTTGGAAATCGATCAGCGATTTTTCATTTTTGGGGAAAAAGTTTTTGATATTTTGAGTCTTGGAATTTTTTTTTTGATTTTTGTAATTGAGAACTTGACGAAAGTGAAAGTTCAAAGTCCCTCATTAAATAAACAGAAAAATATATAAAGTCGAAAAACTGTTCATTTTACAAATTTGAAAATCGATCGTTGTTTTTACAATTTTTGGTGAGAAGATTTTGATATTTTGGCATTTGAGAATTTCTTTTTGGTTGTATCAACATGTCAGCCATTCATTACAAATGAACATTCACATGAATTTCCACATGAGCTTGAATAATTCTGATACATTTCTCTTTATCGATTTTTTATCATTCTCATTCACCAAATGACTTCTGTTATTCATTCCACATATGACCTACGACGATTATTATCATGATCATAAACAACTTTCACGATTTAAACATTTGTAACTAAGAACCTGATGAAAAACCATTTATTTTCTGAATTTAAGAATTGATCCGCTTTTTTAGAATTCTAGGGGAAATCGTTTTGTTATTTTCTATCAGTTCTTCATTGTACATAAATGTCCACCTGAGCCTCCTCCTTCTGGTCGACTCTATGTTATCGGTTTGTATTGTTTCCCTTCACCAAATGGCTTCTGTTTTTTACTTCACATCGCGCCTGGGGATTATTACGATGATGAAATAATGTTGTCAATTTTCAAATTTTCGAATCGAGTATCTGATGAAACTGAAGGTTGCGAGTGATGTCATCGAATAAATTAAACAATATTGGCCCGCAGACTGTTCGTTCCCCAAAACTGAAGGCGCATCGTCTTCAATTTTGGCTCAACTTTCTCTAGCTAAAATCGGTTGAAACGTGTCAACGAAAAAGCCATTATCATCAGCATTATT